CTATTCTTATTTCCATCTCTTGACTTCTGGACCCAGCATGCCTGGTTGAGGAGAACATAGTAGCAGTTTAGATGTTGACTTCTATTTTTTAAAATTTCCATATGATATATTTTGATCATATTAATTTATCAGTACACACAAGCTCCAACAAACATTGCCCTACCTCTGCAAGTTATTACTTCCAGCTAGTACTATATATAAAAACTTTCAAAAGTTATTTCTCTGGTTCTGGGACTCACAGAAAAAGTAGATATACTCAATAATCATCAAAGGAGAGAAGACTCAGGAGACTCTTATAAAGGATTGATGTTGGCAGTCATTGAAGCTTTCCTTTGTACTCACTCCAAGTTCCAAGCTTCATCACTTCCCAGTCATTTTTCCCACTTCCACAGAAGACACTCTGCAAGTTCAGGAGGTTAATTAGTATTATAATTACGATACAGGAAGGACAGGTAATCTCATCTCAGCACTTGGAAGGCAAAAGCTGGATAACCTTCAGCTCCAAGCCAGCTTGGACCACACAATGAGCCAAATACACACACACACACACACACACACACACACACACACACACACACACACTGATACCTGCACAGTTAGGTCTTTCTCAGAGCAGCTCAGGGCAATGAGAGGAACATGATTTGTACTTTCATTTCTTTGAGAAGAGAGAAAATAGACAAGTAGACAACTAAAGTAGGCAATACTCACAGTCAGCAGTGGGTGCTGGAAAGGACAAAAGCACTAGGAAAGCATCCAACAGGTATGGAGACACCTGCTTAGATAACAAGCCCTGTGTCCAAACTGTGTGGTTTCATCAGCAGTAGGGTCTTGCCTTCAAGTTCTGGGAGGCAACCAAAGGTAATGCAATACCCTGCATTGTTATGGGAGTCTCCAGATTCTCCTGACCAAGACCTCAAAGAGAGGCTTGCTATAGCTGCCGCTACCGTTTTTTTTAAAATCATGGTCAATGTCTCCTGGAGGAGTGTCATTTTCCTGTTTAACATAACTTTATACCCACCCCCAAATACGTACACGCACGCACACATGCAGGCATGCATGCACTGTATTTCTATGCAAGCCAATGGATCATTATGTTTCCCTGTGACTTTCTCTGACATGCATAGTGCCATTTATCTCTTTTTGTCCCTCCCCATTTCATTGTCTTCCCCCAGTTCTCAGTTAAATTGCGTCCCCACTTCCCCCTTCCCTTTTATAGCACCCAGGTCCTATTATCCTCCTCCCTAGAGCTTCTTTTTTCCCTTCCCACAGTCTCTTTCCACTTTTCTTGGCTCTGAGGGTACTTCAGGTTTTATAACTAAATCTGAAGATCAGAGTTAGGAGCAGCAAACGAGAGATCATACCGACTGGGTATAGTGGCTGATCTCTGAGTTTGAGGTCAGCATCGTCTACAGAGTGAGCTCCAGATAAGTCAGAGTTACATAGAAAGGCCCTGTCTCAAAACAAAACAAAACAAGGACAAAAACCTGCTTTTTGATTTCAATGTATAACTAAAAATTCTCTAAAAATATCCATTTTGTTCATGTTATCTGCCTATACTTGTACAATGTATATTCTATTGTGGCTTCAGGAGAAAAACTGATATGTTGAGTGGTTTCATAAATGCAGAAATATTAATGTATACACATTTTTCTCTTCTCATATTTTTTCTTTAAAAAGGAATCCAAGTTTCTTTGACATTAATTAAGCTGTTCAATTCCTCATAGGCATTTCTGTCAATGCTATTAGTAATCTCACAGTCACACAATTATATTAAGTTTTCTCTCAATTTAGTTTTTACCAGGGACTGTTTCATTTCTGAAAAACAAAAATCAAAAGGTAATTTAAAAATAAGAGGTTTACCTGAGATATTTAGTCTTTGAAGAAACATAAATTTAAGTGACTAATGTAAAATTGCTTTAGTATCAAATTCATCTTTACCAAACTCAAAAATCAAGAACACAGTGATGCAATCTATCCTGGGGTGGGGGAACCTCTTCAAACTGTTGTCCTGGGAACAGTCTGACCCTCCCTTTGCATTTTCCAAATAAAACAAACCAAAAAAGCACATAGGGATAAAAACATTTGTTTCTCTTTAAACTGCAGTTTCTGACACTGCACTCAGATGTAACCAGTCTCTAGCTTTATGCATTTTATTTTTTTCATTCTCCAAATCAGTCAGCAGTTATTAGTACAGAAGGCATAGGCCTGTACACCATTGTACAAAAAACAGAGGGGCATATGATGCTTAGTTACAATTTTAATAATATGTAAGTTTGTATTCTACACACAATTTTAGACTCTGCTTTATTTTTTTTTTATTTTGTGTATATGGATGTTTTGCTGCCGTGTGTCCTTGAGCAACACATATGCACAGTGCTGATGGAGTTCAAAAGAGAGCATCAAATCCCATAGAACTGGACTAATAGACAGTGTGAGCTGCCATGTGATTGCTGAGAATTAATCACAGGTCCTCTGGAAGAGCAGCCAGTGCTCTTAATTGCTGAGCCATCTCTCTAGCCCCTACATTCTGTTTTTATTATTTTGTTGTAAGGTTTTATAAAATCTTCCAAAATTCTCCAAGAGCATCATGTTCACTGGCTGTGCATGTGTCCAGCCACATGTCTTGCCATCATCTCCTCATAGCTTTTCTGAATAGTGAGAGCTACATTTGTGCCATGTCTTCTTGCTATTTGAAACACACACACACACACACACACACACACACACACACACACACACACACACACCCCAAACCAATAATAAACCAGAAAACCATAACTGACATAGAATGGTCCTGCTATAATCAGAGTTGCTCAGCCTAGTCCTCACTTTCTTCACACTAATGGTTAAGGTTAATATTAGATTTTGCTTTTATACAGTCTCTGAGGGCAAATCTCACCATCTGAATGATGCTATGGAAATTATGTTAACTTAGGCAAGGATATGTTTGCATTTGTTTAAGATGTGTTGCATTTGTTTTACCTTGCCTGCCTGAGGCACTTGATCGGTCTAATAAAGAGCTGAATTGCCAGTAGCTAGGCAGTAGAGAGATAGGTGGGGCTGGCAGGTGGAGAGAAAAAGTAAGTGGAGAAATCTGAAGATGGAGGGGAAAAGAGAAAGAGAGAGGGGAGAGAGAGAGAGAGAAAGGGAGAGGGAGAGAGAGAGAGAAAGGGAGAGAGAGAGAAAGAGAGAGAGAGAGAGAGAGAGAGAGAGAGAGAGAGAGAGAGAGAGAGGGAGGGAGGGAGGGAGAAAGGGAGAAAGAGAGGGAGATGCTCGGGTCCAGCCAGGCAGTCACCAGACAGACAGACATGGAGTAGGACATGCAGAACAAAAGGAAGATAAAAAGCTCGAGGCAAAACATGGAAGAAAAACAGTGGGGCAAGCATAAGCTAAGGCTGAGCATTCATAACAAGTCTCTGTGTCATGATTTTGGAGCAGGTTGGTGGCCCAATAGGAAGCTTGCTACAGAATGATCCTTGGTTTTCTACTTTAGATTGATATGTTTAAATTTTTACATTGGTTTATAGGGTAATTAGGAGAGAAGACAAGCAAAGGCTGATCATCACTTTGAACAAAATATGTTTAGTTCATATTAGCAATTATGAGCCTGAGTTTGAAAAACTCAAGGAGGAAAATAACCTCAGAAACAGGTAGTATTGAGTGGATCAAGGTATTCATAACTGCATGGGTTCTGATGGAGCTCAGAATTCAGGGAAGAAATAGAACAATGAAGCAGGCCAAGTTTCAGTCTCAGGAGAGATGGCTTCTGTAGGGTTCTTCCTGAAACATCTTTTGCTTTGGAACTTTCGTTGTTGACCTTAGAAAATCATGGAAAAGTGAGAGTGAAGACCCTGAATATGAAAACATTTTCATTCCATGCCCTGCCTGACTTCATTGGTGGCTGTCCCTTCACATGGGTGGTTTCCTGTTCATCCTTCAGGACTCGATTCTGTTTTAGATTTTCCACCTGTTGTAGACAGTTGTGGTGGTTTAAATGAGAAATGTCCCCCATAGGCTCAGATGTTTGCAAACGTGGTCTGTACCTGGTGGCGCAGAGTGGGGAGGTGGTAAAGCCTTGCTGGGGAAATTTATCATTAGTAGAGACCTTAGAGAATTCAGAGTCTCACCCCACTTCCAATTCTCTCTTTCTGCCTGTAGTTGAAGATACAAATTCTCAGCTTCTTGCTCTAACTAGCCACCATGCCTCTCTGCCATGATGGACATGTATCCCGCTGGAACCATAAGCCCAATTGAATCCTCTTTCTATAAGTTGCCTTGATCACTATGATTTATCTTAACAACAGGAAAGCAACTAACTCAGCACTTCCTCCTCTAATACAACCTTATCTAAGTTTATTGTACCAATACTGATTTCTGTCACTTATCACAAGACTGTCAGTTCAATAAATTTGTTTAATGATGAAAAAAAGTGTATCTTATTAGATATCTAGAAAGGGATTAAGATCTCACATTGTAAACGAGGATGCTTAGCTGAGAGAGGCTAAGTTCCTGGGTGTATATGTAATGCAGCTTAAACTTCCTGAATCTAAGTTCAATACACCATTCACCAGCACAGTCATTGTGGGTCATAACTGGATGGTGAATGTGACAAGATCAGGGGATTATTTCAGAGGATGCTGGCACAGACAGCTCTGACACTCTTTCAATGACTTTCCCCCGTGTAACCCTTTATTTTACGTTTTTGCCATAATTTTCCATTTCTAAAATCTTGGAATCAGTGCAGCCAGTTCTAATGAACTTTTGGTAAGCTAACCCATGAACTCCTTGAAGTCAGCCTTCACCCTCTCTTTTGTAGCTCTTTCACAAATATTTGTGAGCTATGTGGACAAAGTGACATTTAACCACTGTCACTTGATATGTCTTTCATTTCAGTTTCCCAAAGTAGGTTGTTCAGGTTGATCAACTCTGGTCTTGAAATAAAGCTCTGCTCACACCCACGTCCCTCCCACAAGTAGGTGGGGCAGTCTTCCTGGGACTTGTAGACAAGAGAGTGTTCAGCGAAAGTGAGGGACAGTCAGTGATCCAGAAAGCTGTTGTATCATGAGTGTCTCTGCTCTGAGCCCCACCAGATTTCCAGGAAGCATCTTTGGCTTCCTCCAAGTAGCCTTTGTGCTTAGCCTGCTCCTGCTGCTCTTCAAGATGGTCCATTTCTACGTGCGCAGGCAATGGCTACTCAAACATACTCAGCAGTTCCCATCCCCACCTTCCCACTGGTTCTTTGGGCACAAGGTATGAAGGAAAGGGAAGGGTGGGTGGGGGAGCAGGGAGGATAGGGGTCTCAGAGAATAGCCACCAAATTTACAGATATCAGAGCTTGCAATAAAACAAGCACAGGTCCTTCATGGAACATTCTGCTCAGAATGGAACACATCTGAGGTTGTGCTTGCTTCAGCTACAGGGGCTCACTGCTCACAAGAACATTGTCTTACTACTATTAGCTCTGCTGCATACTTCTTCCTTATGCAGATCTGTTTTGAGGGCCCTAGACTTTGGAGGTTGTTGTTGGTCCTTTCCAGGTTGAGTAACTCCCGCAGCCTCACCTGTTCTCAAATGCTGGACTTCTTGGTGGTTCCCTGCCCCAGTTTCTCTTCATACTTTCCTACTAGCACAGAGCTTGTTTGAGAACATGACTATTAGTGTGGTAGAATCTGTCCCGTGCATGGTAACAACAGACAGGAATCACAGGGGGTTTCAGGTTTGCTAAAGGAACTCACTTTGCTATTGGGTGAAGCAACTGATCATATAGGTTTACCTCAGATTGGAAGAGCTGATTGGGTAAATGATTTAAATGATTGGTTTAAATCCTAAGAGTCAGGAAAGTTGTACAGATGTAAGGGCCATTGCTAGAGACACACTATTATTCAAAGTCCATTTATTTTTGGGCTCTCCTTCTGCAACCCTGTAGTGTGTACTCCTTGTTGCTAAGCAACTGTACCACAGTACCCAACCAAGGGCCTGGCACAAGTGTACAGTCTTCCAGAAAGGAGAGAAAAATGTAGCCTAGGATCTGGGAGAGCCTCTGTCACCTCTGGGGGAATAGGCACAGAACTAAAGTAAAAGGTTGCAGAGAGGGGCAACGTGGCAAGGGTTGCATACTGAACACATTTAAGAGGAGATAGAGTGTTTGGAATATGAGCCAGAGATGAAGTTATGGAGCAAGCTTCTGGGGAATACAGTTTTATCTAACAGGACCATAGCATCAGGTTAAGATCAAGGGAGAGAGCAAAGGTCTTGAGGATAGCACAGACAGGCATCAAGCTGGGCTCCAATTTTTAGGTTCTGCTGAATCATCCTCACCATGTCCCTGAAGTTGTTCTGCTTTTTTATTTAAAGTCAAGAACTACAAATGGTTTCTTTTTACCTTACTCTTGAAGTTTTTGTTTGTTTGCTTGTTTTTGTTTTGTTAGGGGTTTTTGTTAGGGTTTTTTTTTTCTTTTTCGACAGTGTCTTGTAAGGTAAACCAGGCTGGCCTGGGACTCACTATGTAGCTTCATAGAACAGAGAACAGAGAACAGAGGCTTCAGCCTCCCAAGTGTTGTGTTGGGATTACAAACACGAGTCACCACATGTAGCACCAAGGATTTTTAGTGATTTATTTCTCTACTGATATCAGATCCCCAAGGACCAGGAGCTTCAAGATATTCTATCACGGGTAAAGAAATTCCCAAGTGCCTGCCCACAGTGGCTTTGGGGGACCAAACTGCGCTTCCAAGTGTATGACCCTGATTACATGAAAGTGATTCTGGGGAGATCAGGTAAGGGTGAAACTCTGACACCACTGTGGACCTTTCATTCTGGGTTTATATCTGGGTCTGTGAAGTTACAGGAAGAAGTGACAATTCAGTTACCAATGCCTAAAGAGTACCTTTCCTTTTTCTGCTCACAACCTTGCATAAAGCCAGCAATACTTGCTTAATACTTTCTTGGTACTTAGCACTGTGCAACATTAAAATAGTAGTATGAGTCCAATTTATTTACCATTTTTTGAACTAAATTGAGGTGGTCAGTTGTATATAAAAATACATTTCATATCTATAGTGGCATGGGTTTGAATCTCCTAATTGTTCTGTTTTGCATTGTGGATGACTAAACTACTAGCAACCACAAGATTGTGCTATTCCTTGGAGTTGGGGACATAAGAATCTATGTTTCTTGCTAAATCACCATTCTAATCCTTTGGATATTTAGTTTCTGGTGTAGGGAGGTTGCCTCCCTAAGCCAAAGTGTCAAGAAGGGAATGGGAGACAGTGGGAGGTAGCATGAGGCAAACTCAGTAGACAGTTACCAAGATTTCATGGTGCTCTCTGGTCTTATCTGCAGTCATCTCAGGCCACTTCATCTTTCTTTCTTTCTAACAATGCCTCACTTTTTTTCAGACCCAAAAGCTCATGGTTCTTACAGATTTCTAGCTCCTTGGATTGGTATGTACAACAATATAAATACTATCTGTAGTTACTCTCCACATGGGTTTGCCAAGAACTGTTTCTTGACTCATTGAGACCAATGGGAGATGAGCAATTAACTTCAAGATATATCCCTTACTTGTAATTTCATTTCTTTCCTTAACCTCTTCCCTATGTTTCCATATCTCCTATTTACCAGAATTCTTGGCCAAACATGTATGTCCTTCTATACCCTTCCCTCACTATTTTAAATTTTTATCTTGTAGCTGTCATAATCACATCGTAAGTACTAGACCAACTGGGTAAAACATATTATTGAAAAGTATTAGTCTTTTCCATCTTTATTGTCTTCCAGTTCCTCTAAGATCTCCAATGTTTGTCTCTCCAAATTGAGCCTAGTCTTCTAATCCCATTGCTCACACACTCATTCACACAACTATCTCTGTCCAGGGTATGGTTTGCTTCTGTTGAATGGAGAGACATGGTTCCAGCACCGAAGAATGTTGACTCCAGCTTTCCACTATGATATCCTGAGGCCTTATGTGAGAATCATGGCAGATTCTGTTCATGTAATGCTGGTGAGTCTTCTCTCTATGTGTGCCTCTCTCTTTCATTCCCTCTCTTCCTCTTCCCCACCCCTTTCACTCTCATGTCCATACACCCACTCAGATTCAGCACATACTCAGATTCAACTCTTTAATGTAGAAGCCATCAGACACAGTCACATGGAATAACACTCAATTCATCATATGAAATAGGTTCCTCAAAAGTCAGTGCATAAAGAGGATTCAGATAGGGGGAGGACAGAAGAGGAAAGGAAAACACAGGGGAGAGAAGAGGAAGAGAAGGGAGGGAAGAGGAGAGGGAGTGGAGGGAATGGAGGAGAGAAGGGGAGGAAAGGGAAGAAAAGAGGAGAAGAGAGAAGAGACGAGAAGAGAAGAGGAGAAGAGATGAGAAGAGAAATCATAGTGGGTACATGGCCAAATCTAACAGCATACTTGACAAATAGTAAATCCTTCCAGGCAACCATATTAGTTGTCCCTGGCTGTCCTGAGCATGGCAGCTCCAGTGATCAGGCCTAATCACCAAGATGCCACTCTGTCCTACATAGAATTGAAAGACACATGCAATGAAATGCACACCAGGGCCATTTTCTCACAGATAAACTAGATACTCTAAATTTCTGATTTTATAATGCTCATTGAACATTTTTTTTGTCTCTATCACATTCCACTTTATTTTTTTAATTAATTAATTTATTTTATATAACCAAGTCCATTTAACTGAAAACAAACATTTATAGACAATATTTGGGAATTTGGGCGTCGTTCTTTCCAAACTACTTCCTGCTGGTAAGGGGCGCTGTCATGGGGGATTCTAAGAAGATGCAGAAATCCTAGCTGTAGTCTGTAAGGCTGCTTTGTCCAGCTGTTTTGAATGTAGGATCACCTGGTACTCTGGGACGAATGAAAAAGACTTATAGATCAAGATGATCCCCATTAGGAACACATGTGCAGGCCCATGGGCTTTCTTCTCCTTGACTATTTTATTATATATCATAATTGTGTTTCCATTACTTCTTTCAAATTCCATTCATCTGTCAGAAAAATAAAGGGTTCTCTGGGGTCCTCTTTATTAACTGAAAGGTTGTAACTGATTCACAAAACTAAAAGCAAAGATATGTAATTTTATAATTTTCCCCTGAGAAATAGGTATCAGACTACAAATATTTTTTTTCACACTTAGTCTTTTAAAAGATGTCTATACTAGCTATTTCTGTTATTGATGAGATTAAAGACCCGAGGAAAAAGCTGTCAAAGGGAGGGAGGGTTTATTTTGGCTCACTTCAGAGGATACCAGTCCACTGTGGTGGAGAAAGAATGGGTAGTTGTTTCATGATCCCAGTCAGAAATAGACAAGAGAAATACCAACACTTTTTTGACTTTCTCCTTTGTCCCTTTTCTGTTTAGTCTGGAACCCTAACCCATAGAATGGTGATGTTCTCATTCATGAAAATTCTTACTACCTAAGTCAATTCTACAAATGCCTACACAGAGATACTCAAAGGTTTGCTTCAGTGATGCCCTTGGTCTGTCTATCTGTATTCTCTCTCTCTCTCTCTCTCTCTCTCTCTCTCTCTCTCTCTCTCTCTTCTCTATTATACCTAAAATGTATTTTTTTATATTTTTGCTATTTAAAGCAATTTTAAAATTTAAATATATTTTAGTCAAATTCTTCCTCTCCCCAAAGTCCTTCCAGATCTTATTCCCCTTCTACACTCCCAAATTCAAGTTATATAAACTCAAACAAAAACCCAATACAATATCAACAAAAACCCCACAACTAAGAAAACAAAATAAAACTCCACCCAGAAAGAAAAAAAAAAACAAAATATAACCAAATAAAAGCACACACACAAAAAACTGTGGAGTCAATTATATGTTGGCCACATGAGACCTGCTCTGCAATGGTTGTTATACCCAGTATCATCAGTCCATTGGAGAAAACAGATTTTTTTTTCTCCCAGAAGATATAAATGACAATTGTTAACCTTATCCGAGTAGCTATGCATGCTTTCATTCACTCAATTACTTACTTACTTAATTAATTCTTTTAAAAATATAACAAAATATAAAATATAAAAAGCTAAAACAAAAACTATCACATTGAAGGTAGACAAAACAAGCCAACAGGAGAAAAGGAGCTCAAGAGAAGGCACAAGAATCAGAGACCCATTTATTCATACACTCAGGAATCGGACACTCAACTAGAAGCTGTAATAAATAATCAGAGGACCTAGTACAGACCCACACATGCCAGTCAATGCATGCTGCTTAAGTCTCTGTGAGTTCATATTAACTCTGTTCATGTTGATTTAAAGGGCATTGTTTTCTTGGTATACTCCATCCCTTATGACTCATACTTTCTCTGCTTCCTCTTGTGTGGGGTTCTCTGAGCTCTGAGGAGGGAGATTTGATGGAAACATCCCATTTAAGGATAAGTGTTTCAAGGTTCCTTACTCTGCATAATGTATGGCTGTGGGTCTCTATATTTGTTCTTATATACTAATGGAGAAAGCTGCTCTGAAAGTGGCTGACTAGGCACTCATCTATGAGTATAGCAGAATATCATTAGGAGTTATTTTATCACTAAATTTTTATTTTTATATCAATATTATTTAGTTTTACTCTATGTCTTTGGGCTATCCGGTCTCAGGTTCTTGGTCACTCAAGAAGTATTGAGTATGGCTTCTATCTCGTGGAGTGGACCTTAAGCCAAATAAGATGTGGTTATTTATGCCCACAATTTTGTGCCACCATTGTCCTAGTATATCTTGCAGGTAATACACCATTGTCTATAGAAAGTTTGAGGCTGTCTTGGTGTTATGTATCTCTTTTGATAACATGCAGAGTACTTTCCTCTACCAAAGATGCTGGAATGCAGGGGTGAAGGCTCTATGTAGGCACCAGCTCTATATCTCCACCCTCAATGGGATGTATAGGTGTTGTCTTTAACAATAGTGCCTAGCTGTCAGTTTGTAGAAAGTCAACTACAGTCTTGGCAGCAGCCCAGGTTGTTTGAGGATCCCTGTGGGGGTTTCTTTGACCAATAACTTAGATATGTAACCAATCCCAGTACTGGAAGCTTGGTTTGGTGAAGAGAGGGCCAGCTGGGACTCAATCTCCCCCATTATTTGGTGATTTCATTTAGACCACCTTGATATATGTATATAATTTAGGATTTTCCTGCCATAGTAGGTTTCCATACTATTCTTTAAATGTGCCTCAACTTTAGTTATCTCTCCTTGTATTCCCTCCTGCAACCCCCTTTTGCCTTCTCCTCCCCACTTGATCCTCCAATTCCAGTCCCATCCCCTTTATCCACATCTTTCTATTCAATTTCCCTTTCCTAACAAGATCTAGTTCCCTTCAGTCCTTTACTCTATACCTATCCTCTATGATTCTCTGGATTGTAGCTTGGTTATTATTGGTTGTACAGCTACTATACTCATATAAGAAAATATATACTCAATATGTTTTTATTTTGAGCCTGGAATACCTCACTCAGGATGATTCTTCCCTAGTTATATCCATTTGGCTGTAAATTTCACAATGTCCTTGTTTTTAATGGCTGAGTAATACTTCATTGTCTAAATGTACCACTTTTTCTTTATATATTCTTTTGTTGAGGGACATCTAGGTTGTTTCCAATTTATGGCTATTAGGAAGAGATCAGCAATGAACATGGTTGACCAAGTGTCTCTGTGATAGGATGAAGTATCCTTTGGATATATTCCCAAGTATGGTATAGCTGGATCATGAGGTAGATCAGTTCCCACCTTCTCAAGGAATCACCAAACTGATTTCCATAGTGGCTTCACAAGTTTTCACTCCCACCAGCAATGGGAGAGTGTTCCTCTTATTCTGCCTCCTCACCAGCATGAGCTGTCATTTGTTTTGTTGATCTTAGCCATTTTGACAGGTATAAGATGGAATGTCAAAGTACCTTTGATTTGCACTTCCCTGATGGCTAAGGATGTTGAGTATTTTTTTTTAAAGTGTTCTCAACCATTTGAGTTTCCTCTGTTGAGAATTCTGTTTAGATCTGTACTCCATTTTTAATTGGGTCATTTGTTTCTTTGATATCTTGAATTCTTTATATATTTTTGAGTGATAGTCTTTGTCTTAGGGTTTTTGATGCTGTGATGAAATACCATGACCAAAAGTAAGTTGGGGAGGAAAAGGTTTATTTGGCATACACTTCCAGATCATAGTCCATCATTGGAGACAGTCAGAACGGGAACTCACGCAGAGCTGGGACAGGGAGGAAGGAGGTGATGCAGAGGCCGTGGAGGGGTGCTGTTTGTTAGATTGCTTCGCATGGCTTTTTCAGCCTGCTTTCTTATAGAACCCAGGACCACCAGCACAGGGATGTCACCACAGATCATGGCCCAGACTCTCTCTCATTGATCAGTAGTTGAGAAAATGCTTTCCAGCCTGTTCTCATAGATCTAAGTGAAGTTCCTTCATCTCTAATGACTCTAACTTGTGTCAAATGGACACACAAAACAAATTCTCTATCAGATGTGTAGTTGGTAAAAAAAAATCTTTTCCCATTCTGTAAGCTGTTGCTTTGTGTTTTCATAGATTTATTTAAGAGATTTACTTGTTTCCTTTTTAAGGAAACAAATCATATTTATAAAGGCTGTTTTATGGTCTTATACGTGTGCTTCAAGTATGAGAATATTCAGGGTCTGCTGTGGTGGCATTGTTGGGCTCTAGTGAGATATTGTCCTGGCTGTTGTTGACTGTGTTTTTACTCTGGTGTCTAGGCATCTGGGATGGAGAAGATTGTAATTCTGAGTGCTGATATCTGGTCTTGTCTTTGTTGAGTAGGTGTTTTGTTCCTTAGTTTATACTTCCTCTATGAGTCTTAGGAGTACATGGTGGCTGTGTTTTACCTGTAAGAAAATATTCCATGTCCTGCTAGGTGTGAGCACTGGGGGTTCCAGGTAAAATCTGTTTCTGGGTACTGGGATTTATGAATGGGGATGAGCTGTGGATGATGGAGGAGTTTCATAAAGGTGAAGAAAGCAGGTGTTCCACCAGAATCTGCTTAGTTAGTCTCTTGGGAGTGGGGACAGAGAGTGAGAAGAGGCCATAGCAGTGTGTCTACTTAAGAGCTGGTCTTAAGACTAGGTAATAGGACTTGGAGGAGTAGAAGAAGGGGCAAATTTCTGCAGCTAACCTACTTGCTTCCCTAATTAGAGTGGCCAGTGAATTCCTGCTGGGGTTGGGGATTAGGATAAAGTTTCAGCTGGGGAGGGAGTTTAGGAGGGGAAGATCTATGGGGGTTCACTGGAGCTGGGGATAGAGGGGAAGGGAGGCTGCAGGAGGTGTTCTGTTGCAGAGCTGGGAAATTAATTTGGAGGGGCAGAAGGAGAGCACAGGTCAGTAATTAGCCTACCTGCTTCCCTGGCTGGAGTGTCCTGTGAGTTTCCAGGGAGTCTCTTTGGTGTTTTTTTTTTTTTTTTTTTTTTTTAATCCAACCAAGTTAACAGTGAAAATCAGACATTGCAACATCTGGAACAGGGAGTCAGAAAATGGTATCTAGAAATATAGGGAATGGAATAAGTCTGGTCTAGTTAGCACCAGCCTTCTTGGAGACTTGGTGTCAGGTTTCTATTTCCCTTACAGGATAAATGGGAACAGATTGTTGGCCAGGATTCTACCCTGGAGATCTTTCAACACATCTCCTTGATGACCTTGGACACCATCATGAAGTGTGCCTTCAGTCATGAGGGTAGTGTCCAGTTGGATAAGTGAGTAACATCTCTGAACTATAAGGTCTTTGATCTTGCCACATAATGTGGTCTCACTGAGATGGAACAGCTTAAATATTAACATTCACAAAACACAGGATTGTTCCTTATCAGTAAGAATTAGGCCAAACTCTAACTCTAGATCAGGCACTAATCTGCTCAGATGTACCATGGATTCCCAGACAGATGAAAGCCTGAATGGCCATGCAATCTTCTAAAAACATGGTGGTTACAAGGGTATATGACAGAAGCAACCTGAGTCCTAGCGTTATCGCTGTCCAAATTAACGAATTATCACTCTATCTCTGGGTTATATCTCTGTTTGTCATTGTGTTCACAGAAAATACCAGTCCTATATCCAAGCAGTTGGGGACTTGAACAATCTCTTTTTTTTCCGTGTGAGGAACATCTTTCACCAGAATGACACCATCTACAGCCTGTCCTCTAATGGTCGCCAAGCCATCAATGCCTACCGACTTGCCCATGACCACACAGGTTCTGTTTGTTTCTTTTCTCTCCATTCTTTTTACCAGGCTCAGCCCAAAGAGGTTAACCATGATCTCAGAGGCAGAGCCAGGACCTTTGGTCCTCTGAAGGGTGTAAGATGAATTCATGTTGGGTAATTTCCTAGTACAAGGAAGCTAAGATGTAGGGTTCTGGATGATATTCACTAGTTACCTGAGGCATCACATTGGTGATATTAAATGAAATACATCCAAGAAGAATTCAAAAAGATCTCCATTTGTTATCCCAAGGGGCAGCCTGATGTCTGTTAGATGTGCTAGACTATCACACCTTACCCAACCCTTGACCATATACACCCTAACCTCTGGGGGGAATAGAGGTTGAAAAAGAGGGTACACAAGCTTCTTGGGAGCTGACTCTCATCTCATTCTGGTAACTAACCTCCTTGGATAGATCAAGTGATCAAATCAAGGAAGGCTCAGCTACAAGATGAGGGAGAACTGGAGAAGGCTAAAAAGAAAAGGCGATTGGATTTTCTGGACATCCTCCTGTTCGCCAGAGTGAGTATGTGAAACCAGATGAGAGGCTTGAGACTAGAATTGCAGAGTGATGAACAAATATTGCTCTTTCATCTATGGCCTTCTCCAGATGGAAAATGGCAGCATCTTATCTGATAAGGACCTGCGTGCTGAAGTGGATACATTCATGTTTGAAGGCCATGACACCACAGCCAGTGGTATCTCGTGGATCTTCTATGCTTTGGCCACTCACCCTGAACACCAGAAGAGATGCAGGGAGGAGGTTCAGAGTCTTCTAGGAGATGGAGCTTCTATCACCTGGTGAGTGGGAGCTCAGGATAGAAGAGAGTTCTGTCTTCTGGTAATGGGAGTTCCTGGTCAGACTAGCTGTGTCTGACTTTCAGATGGGACTCATTTCAGGGAGCACCTGGACCAGATGTCCTACACCACCATGTGCATCAAGGAGGCCCTGAGGCTCTACCCACCAGTACCAGGTGTGAGCAGAGATCTCAGCACACCTGTCACCTTCCCAGATGGACGCTCTTTACCCAAAGGTATGAGTTTCCCAGATCAACTCAGCTGAGGTAAAGAAGAATGGGGATTCCTTGTTTCTTTAGGAGTTCTGAACTAGTGAAGTATAATGGCTTTCCCATAACTTATCAATAGTGATAAAGGGATTTTTACTTTAAGTTAGAATGTAGTGTGTGAATTTCTTTACATACAGTTAGAATTTACCAACATCTCAGTAAATACAAGTCAACCTCTATATTTAATTTCAGCACTTAGGCATTAATTATTAAATTATTACTTGTTACAAAAGAGAAATCAGTAAATCCTGAGAAGATGTGTTTCTTTCTATGGATGAAGGCAAATGAGAAAGGTCAGGAACTCCCAGGTCATGTATAAAATGTGGTTCACTGAGGATTCCCACATCATGGTTAAAAAAAAAAAAAAGACCTACTGGATCATTTATCACTGAGTATGATTTCCCCCTCTGCCCCACTGAAGCTGTGTGGACAAGAAAAGACGATCAGTTTTGCTGAAACTCTAGAATCTCACCTAAAAGAATGGGTATACAATAGTACATTTTTGGAGGTTTCTTGTGAATGTTGACTGTGGCAAAGGATCTGGAAAACATTTGATGAAAGAGAGTTATCAGTTCACTTAATATAATAGTGATTCTCAGATGCTTTCTTGTTCTTATACTTGAGTTCATGGCTTTTGGCAACTAGCCTGTGCTTAGTGCTTTGCCAAGCCCACCTTCCTTCCCTATGATCGAAGTGATGATTTCTAGCATATGGGCCAATTGTGTGTGCATGTTCTCTGCTGAATAAGGGAGCAAGTGCTCTATCCCATTGGCATAACTGGTCTCTCTTTGCACTATTCATCCCACAGGTATCTCAGTCCTGCTCTCCTTTTATGGCCTCCATCATAACCCAACTGTGTGGCCAAACCCAGAGGTATAAGGGGCAATGGGAAAAGGTCAGGAGAAGGTATCTCAGGACCAGTACTTAGCCCTACTCTTACTTTTGAACATTTTGTTCTCTTATGAGTTGAAATCAGAAGCTTGACTCTTACCTGCCCTGGCCCTGGTATTTTCACTGCAGGTATTTGACCCCTTTCGATTTGCACCGGAGTCTTCCCGACACAGTCACTCATTCCTGCCCTTCTCAGGAGGAGCAAGGTGAGATGTCCAACTGTGTGTGATGAGTGGAGAAAAGGGTAATCTCTGGGTGATTCCCTAAGCTCCTACATGACATCTTCAGGTGTTTGTGGGTGGGATGCAATTTCTATATCCCCCAAAGAGTTGGTATTTAAGGAAGCAATATGGGTTGTTTGACAGACTATTTTTCCCAAAAAACATATAGATTTGTGACAGTGTTTCAAACTTCACTATATGTTGACATTTTCACTATTTCTAGGATGTTCATACTTAGGTTTTCCCATGTAAACTGGCTCTTAGGCATTTGTTTTCCTCATCAGCCAGATATCTTAAAGGATGACTTATGTCCCCATCATTCTCCACTCATTTTACCACTTCTGTTTAATTCACCAATCAATCAGTCAAACAATGAATATAAAAATGTTTCATGTTTTTAGAATTATGTTGAAGCCATGTTTGGAAAATTGTAGAGCCCACTGTGGTAGGAGGATACCAATGAGTCTTCTCCTATACAAATTTGATTTTTAACTCAACAAAATTTTCACTGCATATTAGCAGTGAATTTCCCAATGAGCAAAATTTGGAGAATGATTTTACACTGCAAGGCTATGATCCACTTAGACAATTTGAAAAATGGAGACAGTACATTAGGCATGATCTATCTATAACATATACTAGCGTGCACAGTAACAAACATTCCTGAAATAGTCATTGAGTTCAAAGGTTACAGTTCAGAGAGATACTGTGAAAATAAATGAAGGCTAGAGGACTAATCCCCTTGTGGAATGTAGATTGATGAAGAAGTAATGAAGAGATGGAAAGCTTTTATGCATCCACAATTCTGTGGCTTCTGCCATGCAAAATCAATTTTCACAGAATAGGCTGTAAGCATATTGTTTATCTAGAATGAGTTTACCTAAGAGTGAATACTTCCTCTTAGGGATCAATGCTGAGGTCATTGGCAGATAGAGGAGTATCAGGTAGCTAAATTCACATAAAAAAATAAATGGTTAACCAAGTTATATTTCTCTGCTCCAAGTCCTATGCTGTGACAGGAACACAGAGACATAGGTTCTGCCTCTGATTCATCAACAAGAACAGAAAATTGGTTTACACCTCTGTGTGAAACAGACATTTCTTCTTTGATACTTTCATTTACTTACTGAGAAGTTAATTGAATGGTCCAAGTTCCTGGCACTGTCCTAGGCCTTGAACTATGCTGTGCCCTCAAATAAAGCACCAATTGTGCCTTGAGTGTTCAAGAAAGAAACATCAGGCAGAAGAATGAGGGCTAGCTGCTCACTGTTCTGGCCTTGGGCATGTAGAAGGAGATGGGGTGGGGAGAGGCAGAGGGAGAGGGAGAAGAAGAGACAGAGAGAAAGGGAGAGGGTGAGGCAGAGAGGGAGATAAAGAGGGAGAGGAAGAGATGGAGAGGGGGAGGGAGAGGGAGGGGGGTTCTCCTTGGCCTCTATAACATTTGCTGAGACAGAAAGTAGGGGCTGGGCAGGTAAGAGGTGGGGAGGCAGTCACTCACAGGGGTGTGGCTGTGTTTGAGACATTTAGACACTACATTATAGATTGAAAGGATGGGAGGGTCAATATGATGAGAAGGGATTAAGGGACCAGTGAAGTCTGGGACAGGACACTGAATGGGACTAGAGGGCTGCAGGTGCTAGTAGATTGAGGAGGAGTGGGAGAGCCTTACCACTGAGTGGGAGGCAGATAGGCAGGAGCTCAAGGATCCCCAATCCAGTATGTTCTCCAAGAACTTCTCCATCAGCATCTGACTCCATATGAGGATCATAGAGACCTTTTCCCTAGACAGTGAGTCCCAAGAGTGTGACCCATCCTTCTCCCATGTTGCCTTGACCAATAGAATCTGTACTGGGGGATTAGAAACTCTTAATGTTGAGAGTCAACTAGCCAAAGACTAGCTGATTCCCTACCTCTCAAAGCAGGATTAGAGTCAGTCTCAGAAAAGAGGGCTATTTGTGAAAGCTGAAGACAGAAAGAATTGGGCCCAGGGCAGAAGCATATGTATATGACCTGTAAGGAAAGGAGTCAGGCTGAATCCCATGAAAGAGTGCCCTGAATGCCAAGTTCTATGCTAGGGCACTAAAAGACAATGCCTGCACAACCCAGGAAAGAGCCTGAGGCCACTTATTTTACTGTCCCCTTCTGACCCAGGAACTGCATTGGGAAACAGTTTGCCATGAATGAGCTGAAGGTGGCTGTGGCCCTGACCCTGCTCCGCTTTGAGCTGCTACCAGATCTCACCAGGATCCCCATCCCTATACCAAGACTTGTGTTGAAGTCCAAGAATGGGATTCATCTTCGTCTCAGAAAGCTCCAATAATCGTCTCAGGATAACGACAGCTCCAATAGCAAGCTGCCTGCCATCTTGTCTTCCTGTCACTCACTCTTGTCCCAGCCCATCTGTTCATAGCCCTTTCTTCTCTCCTTATTCATCTCCTTCTGTGTGCTTCCTGTCTCTTTGTCTGTCGGTCTTTCTTCCTTACCTTCTTCCAGAATTGCTACCTGCTTTTCTCTCTACCTGTCTCTCTACCTGAATGCATGTCTGACCTCCTTTCACCTTAATAAGTTCCCTGATTTTCATACTTCCTGCTCTTCTGGGTCTTTCTTTCCTTTCTGCTGCTTGTCTGTCCTTGAATGAGCTTTATACTGATGCTGTAAATAATTACAACAGGAATATGTGCTCTTACACTTCTAAATATTAGACATTTTACATGATTTCACTGGGATGAAGCTAGCCCCTCAGCTATTGCCATGCCTCCTCTGTTTTTCTTTTACATAATCTAGAGCTGCATTCCTGGGTTTCAAGAGCCTTCCTAAGAATGAAAATCTGACACCATCTTTGCTTTGGTTTCCAGATCACCTCTCTATCTTTCCAATGTGTATGTTCACTTTGTGCCCAAGGTGGTAATAATACTGGCCATGCTCATAGTTCTACTAAGATTAGGACATGCATGTCAGGAGAGCTATTGCCCAATCAACCTAACCCAGTCCCTCCCTGACTGTCACCTCATATATCCACCTAAATCTCTGCTTCAAAGTCTCCGCTCATAGCTTATTTCTAAAGCAAACTTTGCCATGTTTTCTCTTCCCTGTAATAAAGTTCACAATATGGCATGTTGTTCCTATCCTCTTTGAAGGTGGGGGAGGTAAAAGAGAAACTAACTGTGAGAGAGACTTTAGGAGGTGACAGATCCCTTTTGAGGCCAGGGAAGGAGGCCTCAAATTATGGATTCTCTTCAGACTGTCAAGATGGATTCCACATGCTCTAGGGGGCCTTACCTATGTGACATCTAATATGTACACTCACCCAACTATAAGGTTTTCATGTGACTGAGCTTAGACAATAGGCTCTTGTCTGTGAACTCAGAGGTAGAAACACAGCTCTTGTGAAAAAAGACTTTCAGGCCTCCAGGCTAGTAAAGGATTAATATCATTTACTAATTAGGCCTCCATTCTACTCAAGGATTAACACCCCTTACATTTGATTCTTCAGCAGAGCACCAAGCCAGAGCCTGATTTGATCTGAGCAAAAAAAGTCTTCAGGTTAGGTCAGTCATGTGAGGCTCGGGAACCTTAGCCAAGCCATCTGCCAGCTTGCTTCACAGGATGAACTCAAAAGGGAAAGTAGGCCTTGCTAGTGGGAGATCCCAAACAGCCTCCCACACAGGATTCCTTGGTGAACCTCTGCCTCCCTCTCTGACAACCCTGAAGGAGATGGGACCCATATCTGATTACGGCCCAAGTGCTGCTGCTAGTGACCCTGGTTACTGTTGCCTACACACATTACCCATACAATTGCATTGAGTTCACCAGAATGTTGTCTCTGCCTCTAATACCTCATTTGAACTTGAACTTGCTTCTCTTGTTTCTTGTAAAAGCAATTTTTCCAAACTATTTCTAGGTCACAACCATGGATGCCATTGACAGAACTCCCCGAGGCCCTCTGCTTGGGACATGTTGTCATTTTCCTGCTTCCCTGAGTGGGTTTCGTGCCATTGTACTACCTTCAGGCAGTACCTTGCTCCCAGTTCCTTGGCTTTTCGGGTAGCTAGATTAGGTCAGCTATGTTCTCAGAAGGAATAGAAAGGGACAGGTTGGACATCCATAAGAAAATTTGAAAGCACCCTGAAAACTGTATAGAACTATAGAAGGGGTCCAAGTAGCCTGAGAACATTGAGCAAAAAGAGCAAAGTTGGGAGAATTATAATAATTCACATTGAATTGCACCACAAAAACCCACAAGCAAAAGAATGTAAGATGAGATCAGTTACATAGACAAATGAAACAGAACTCAGAAACCAGGAGCAAAGCCACATATTTACAACCAATTAAGCTTTTCCACAAAGTTAGTAGGAATGAATGTGTTGAAGAATGAAAAATCTCTTCAATGAATGGAACTGGGGAAGCTGATGTCCAACTAGACTTATACATCTCAACATGTAACTGCTACAACAGAATATAGGAAAGAGACGTTGGTACATTGGACTATACAGAATTTTTTTCTGGAATATTCTCTAATAGCACAGTCAACAAATGTTTAGACTATTGGAATATATCTAACTAATATAGCTTCTGGGAAGAGGAGGAAACAATCAACCGACACACAATGCAGAGACAATGTGATCCAGCTATCCATTTAATAAATTAACAGAATATGCAGAAAACTCAGCAGCAAAAACCAACAAAAGTCTGATTTTCAAATGGACCCAAATTAGAAATTCCTCAAATAAGAATGTACAAATGGAAACAGATGTGTGAAAAATGTTCAACATCACTTAGGGAAATGTAAATAACAACCAAAATGGAGTATTATTTCATCACAGTTTAAATAGTTATAATCAAAAAGAAAACAATTAAATCTTAGCAGAAGTTCAGAGAATGTTCATATAATGGTGTAGGGATGTCAGTAGGGTCACTGTATAAAACAGAGTCACATCAAAAAACTATACAGAGGCTAGTGGAATAGTTTCTGATCCAGTGTTTCCCTGCATTTGTGAGGCCTTGGATTCAATCTAAAACACCACAAAAGGAGAAAGGAAAGAAAAGAAACTTGAAAGAGCTATGGTATGATCCATGATCTTACTGATGGGGTATATATGAAGGAATTGAAATTAGAGTGTTGAAGGGATGTCTGCACTCATGTATCCATGACAATACTTTCCATAATAGCCAAGACATAGAGTCAACATTGGGCACCCATAAACAGGCAAGAACACAGAAAATGAGTTATGTGGTATGTATGCATGATGAATATTATTTCTGAATAAAAAGCATAAAATTTTGCTTTTAGCAGCAACACGGATGCAACTGAGGGACATTGTACTAACATGGATGTAACTGAAGGATATTGTACTAAATGAAATAAGTAGAATACAGAAAGGTACATATTGTTTTTTTTTAATACATGGTGAAGATAAAAAATGATCTCAGAGAAGCTGAATAGGAAAGTGGACACTAGTGCCTGGGAATGGTGTGTGTGTGTGGGGGGGGGGGATGGAAAAAGAATGGTCAATGGATGAAGAGGCGCAGTTCAAAAGGAAGACTGACCTCAAATATTTAACACACCATAGCAAAATATGGTTGACAACAAGCAAGCAACTATACTAATATATTTAGTCTAGAGGATTTTGAATATTGAATTTTTTTAATGTTTCCAATGCTAAGAAATGACAGGTGCCTGGGATGATAGATTGCCAGCTACCTTAATGTGGCAGCTACACATTGAAATGTTATAGTGTACCCCATCAGTATGCCCATTAGTAATAAATATTTCCTGTATTTGAATGTTAAGTGCCATCACTCTTAATCCATGGTTGCATATTTAGGTTATTTTATTTTATTTTACATATCGAACACAGTCGCTCTCCCTCCCTCCTTTCCTCCCTTCCTCTTTTCCTCTCTTCCCCCTCACATTCACCCTGACCACCCTCCCCTCCCACCCCCTCCCCACCACTCTACATGTAGGGAGATGCCATCCAGGAAGGGTCATCTAAATCTGTCAAGTCATTTGAAGTAGGGACTAGGACTTCTCTCCTGTCTCTAGGTTAAGGCAGTATCCCTCCATGAGGAATTTTCACACAAGGTCCTTTTGTGCACCAGGAATATATCCTTGTTCCACTGTCTGAGGTCCCTTAGACTGTTCAGTCCTTCTGTCTGAGACCCATATTCAGGGGGTCTGAGTCAGTCCCATGTTGCATTCCCATTACGTGCCTTTATTACTCTGTTTATTTTACTTTTATTTTTTTATTTTTTTATTTTTTTTGACATAGGGTTTTACTGTGTAACTCTTATCTGTCCTGGAATTTATTTTGCATACCAGATTTACTTTGCAAATCACAGAGATCTGTTTGCCTCTGTCTCCTGAGTGCTGGGATTAAAGGCGTGTGCTACAACACCCAGTTCCTCTTTGTCTCTTTAAAACCATTTTTTTTCATGTCTATGTATATTTTAAAACACATTGTAAACCTTTAGAGGTTTTTCTTAATATGAATATGTCTTTACTGTAAATCTTTATCTTCGTCTGGCCACAAGTCTTTTATCTGATAAACAACAACATTGTTAAAATGAAAGTCATAGCTGTATCAGCCGCGGTTTACCAAAGATGGTGGCAGGTACTTTTACCGCCAGCACGGAAAGCTGTGCTCACCGCCTTGGTCTGCGCTGCCACCCAGAAAGCATGTTGCCTGCTTGGAGATGTGGTCACTGCCATTGCAGTGACTCTCATACACACCAATAAATTGTTAGCAGAGTTATTTAAAAGCTGTGCGGTTTTTTTGCCGATTATGCTGAGTCAGGAATCTTCCCTTAAAGGAGCCGCAGAAATATCTGATTGTCTCTCGCAAAACAGAGTCCAACCGAGAAAAATGCTGTTACTAAGAAACCTTGTTTATCTCTGTTCTTTTGTTTCTAAAACCCTTTTTTAAGCTTTTGTTACATTTTAAGTGGAAGTTCTTATTAACCACGTGGGCGCCATCTGTAACGTGTACTGTTTTTCTGCCCGCCACCTGGTATTGTCCTGCCGCTGCGCCGCCAGTCCCAAATAATACACAGAGACTCTGTATTTGATACAATACTGTTGGCCTAGTTACTTGTTTCTTATCGGCTAGCTCTGCCTTAATTATTAACCCATTTCTGCTGATCTATGTATTTCTCTTACTGGGGAGCCGGCTGCATACTGCTTTCTTCAGACTCTCCATCTTGGCTCCTCCTTCCTACTTCCTATTTCCTCCTTGTCTCCTAGTCCCTCCTATCTTCCTCTCCTATTGGCCAACAGTGCTTTATTATTAACCAGTATGAGAAACATATATACATAATGGCATCTCCCATCAGAGGTCCAGTTAGCTCCTCCTAGTCCCACGTGCTTTCCTCTCCTCCCCTTCTATTTCTCCTAGTTTCCTCTCCACTCACTAAGGCCCCCCCCCCCAACTTCCCATGTGCTCTGGAGAACTTGTCCCTTCCCCTTCTGTGAGGGACTTTATATGAATCTCCTAGAATCCACCTTGTATCCTAGTTCCTCTGGTGGTGTGAATTATAGGTTGGTGATCCTTTGCTCTAGGTCTAAAATCCATATATGAGTGAGTACATACCATGTTCCTCTTTTTGTGACTGGGTTACCTCATTCAGGATAGTTTCTTCAAGTTCCATCTACTTGCCTGCAAATTTAAGATTCCATTGTCCCCCCCCCCTCCGCAGAGTAGTATTCCATTGTGTAAATGTACCACATCTTCTTTAACCATTCTTCAGTTGAGGGGCATCTAGATTGCTTCCAGGTTCTTGCTATTACAAATAATGCTGCTATGAATGTAGTTGAGTGCATGTCTTTGTTGCATGAATGTGG